ACAGACATTTTTTTCAAAATTCCCTATCATTTCAATATAATTTCCGTGACCCGTATCCGATTTCTTTAGTATGATATTCAAATAAGCAAAGTGGCGTTGATTTCTGGATATGAAGACTAGTTTGTTCGGAGTCAGAATATATATAGTGTCCTGTTAGGGTGATATGTTTTCCTGCGGACTGTAACTTTATGAGCACATTAAAAATAGTTACACAAACATCCCATGCAGTAACACAATGTCCAGTATAGATAGTGTCTATATCATGAATAATAATTGATATGGTCAAATTAATAAACTAACTGATTTAAAAAATTGAATTGTTTGAAAAACTACAGCTTATCTGTTCAGGAAAAGATAACTTTGGCTGTATTTTGCAAAAGTTTCGGAATTTTGAGCCTTTTATGGCCTTTGACTTGTTTTATTCGACCGTCACTGATGAGACTTATGTTCTTTGAAATATGTTTAAAGTCAAAATTGTACTGCAATTTAAGAGGAGATATGATTGATTGAATGTTGTTTTTTGACCGCCCAGTGGCAAACACCTCATGCATACTTATGACGGAAAGTAATATAGAGAATAATTTTCAGACAAGACATACGAAGTAGTATGCGTTTTCGTTGAAAAAGATCGGATGCAAGGCGGAGGACAATTGCAAATAATACAAACTTCACAAAGACACAAATTATACTCAATATACATACTAGTGTTGGATAGTTTTGTTTGATCTTAATTACTATTACACTTACAAAATTGAATAATTAAATTTGTCACATGGTTTCTTCTTATGTCGTATGAACTACAATATATGTAATTGTTCACAGTTTTGTATTTCATTTTCGCCATCCATAATGATTGCCTAAATGTTAACTTGGCATGCCATATTTGATAGAAATGCGGACCTGAAAGAAAGCACTTTGATAAAAGCGTCAATGGAGATATTACATTCCAGGGCGACGATTTCGTCATTTATAGAACAAAATACGTGTTTCTGAATAGGTAATTCGTACTTAAATATAATGTTGACATCAACATCGATCTGGTGAGTAAAGAATTTTGATTTAAAATGTGGGTTTGCATACAGTTCTACGGAAAATACATGCTTAACAAATCTTTGCAGTTACGCTACAAAAGACATATTTATGCTTCAACGTGATTAACTTCTGTGTCACAGTGTTCTAAATATTGAAATTTTGTAAAAAAAGGAACTGTTATCAAATAACTTTCGTTTCATTTACATTCACAAAATTTCTCTGAGGTTTGTCACAGATCCTTCTGATTTTGTGTCAAAACTCGACCGTGTCTGCTAATATGTCTCTTTAAATTCATACAATGATAAATACAGGAATATCCTGTGATCCTTTCTCATAGATGTTAAATTTTCGTCATAAAGAAACTAACCAGTAAAGATCATTATAGCACAAACAAAAATTTGTCGTTGGATCCAGTGAATACCGGAAGTCATCGTCCGTAGTTCGTTCAAATATTTCGATGATTCAAATGAAAACTACGACGATTTTTTTTAACTTTTTTTTTAATTTTTAACTATGAGTGTACCTACGGCCCACTTAGATATTTCAACTGCATCAATATTTATATTCAAGGAAAATCTGGTATAAATATGATCGTGGGCCGTAGGTACGCTCATAGTTTAAAATACAGAAAAAGGTTTGGAAACTGCCATTTTTATGCCCTTTTCTCGAATCTTGAGGTGTTTACAGCAACAAAGCATGAATAATATCAACGTAAGTTGACAAATCTATTGATGTTAACAAAAATACAGGTTTTAAACTTTAAAAATATACTATTATAATCCATGGCATGTCACTTTTAATTTGAACGAAAATTGGGGGCCGTTCTTTGATGCTTATCGTACCTTGTCCTTTCAATATATGAAAATAACACTATTAAATTCGGAAGACCGAAGCGCTTATAACCAATATCCATATGTTCATACCAGTCCCGAAGTATTGAGCAATGACTAGTGATACCCACGGGGATTAACAATCAACCGGCAGATATATTATTAACGTTGAACATTAATGGTACCCAAGAAATGCCAAATCTGCTATTCGATTATCTATTTATCTCTTGAAGTTACAATGTATGTTTTAAAAAAAATACTGTTTAAAGCTAGAACATATAGTATTATTCAAGAAAAAAATATATAAGGAATATCCCGGTTGTGTACCTGATATTCCGGATGAGTACCTGCAATCAAGAACGAGTACAAGGACGAGTACCTGCAATCTCAACCCTCGCCAAAAATAAAAGAAGTCACCTTAGAAATGAAGTTGTAATACAAATTTTTATTTTATTGTACAAATTATCAGTTATTCAATATTTGTGTCTTTTCTCTTTGATAATATTACGAGCCTCTCTTATGTAATTTGAAATAAAGATAGTCTTTGAAAAAATGATGGCCTCAGTGATATACTGCCATATATGTACATATAACTGTAACAAATACAATGACAGTCTTTTTTGTTAGGTGACTGTCTGCTGGTCGTTTGTCCGACATAATCTGATTACAGTAGTTGTCGTCTGTTTATGTAGTTCATACGTGTTTCTCGTTTCTCGTTTTTATATAGATTAGACCGTTGGTTTTTCCGTTTGAATGGTTTTACACTAGTAATTTTTTTGGGGCCCTTTATCGCTTGTTGTTCGGTGTGAGCCAATGCTCCGTGTTGAAGGCCGTACCTTGACTTATAATGGTTTACTTTTATAAATTGTAACTTGGGTGGAGAGTTGTCTCATTGGCACTCATACCACATCTTCCTATATCTATATAATACTATTCAAGTCTCTTTATAAAAGCAAAAATTCTTACGATTTAGTCAAGAATTTAATTAGTCATGGGAATCGGTTTGCAATAGTAGGGATAATGTTCAGGGTTTACTGTAAAACATCAACGTCTATATATGTACAAGGAAATAAGACATATTATTTGTGTGGTTAATGAAACCTGTACACCCTACACGCACTTTGCAAAATCCAAGCAAGGAAAGAAATTCATTGCAAGACTTTCAACACAAAACTTACCGCTTTATGCAAGTTCAAGACAACACGACCCTAGCACTGATCCGAGAGGAACTGTTCGCTAGATGTCAATATCGCTACATGTGTACATGGAAGAACACAAATGCTGATTGATATTAATGAATCGAACACTATAACAGACACCATATAATTTCTAACAAACACTGTCAAAATGGTGTATATCAGCTCATTAATGTAAAATGCAGATTCAACACAAACATTAAGTATTATGAAATTAAATTTTCCGATAAATAATTAGATAGAGACATTAGTGAAAACAAAAGTCCCAACTTCGTTAAGTAAAATTAACCTTAGATGGATTTGGTTATTCTTTGATGCACCTTTTCGGTGATGATTCTCTTAACGTGTTTATTAGGTTCGTTTATGTGTTAATATAATATGCCCTTACTTTCAGTTTTTTTGAGTAAGAGCATTCCCGATAAAGAAAAGACTTTCACGCGCCTAGAGTTGTTATATCTTATAAGAACAGGCATTTCTAAATAGTTGAACATGCTTTGACAGCGCTGACTTCTTACATACAATTCGAAATGGTTGAACATGGTTTTACAGCGCCGAATTCAATTCGTCCAAACAATTCTTGATAACTGAACATGCTTTTACAGCTCTGACTACGCACAGGATATTCTAAAGGGTTGAGCATGGTTAAACAACGCTGACATCGTACAGGCAATTATAAATGGCAAAAATAAAAATGACGAAAGAACAAACTATAAAACACCACACAGAAAACCAAAGACAGGGAAACACGAACCTTACAAAAACCGGAGTGATCTTAGGCGCTCAAGAAGGATGAGCATAATATCCTGCTCCATACGTGGCATCCGTTAAACGTTATATTAATATTGAGTTTTTGTGCTTGATATTATACAATTATTTCGTCCGAGGTCGATATTCTTCTTTATGTCGATATACCCTCGTATCGACCTCATACAAAGGCTACAATTGCTATATTATTATTGTAAATAAGCCAGAAGTAGAGTGCCAATTCATTTGATTGGTTGCTTCGATTGTGTCAGATATTCTTAAAATATTCGTGCAATATCACTTTTCTATCTGCTGTTTTCAGTCTACATTTGAAAATATAGTTGAGCATGTGACTCTTTCTAAACGAATCAAATCAGTTAGAATATACACAATTATTTATCATGTAATATCAAACCAAAAAACTAGAAAATCGTCTCAAAATGATAGGGAATCATCTAGCTTACTAACCGAATAAAATTCTTTCACAAATCGGGTTTACTACAAATCTATGTATCTTTCTAAAGTTAAATCAGCTACAAATGAAAATTGTCCAAATAACTCTGACAATTGAAGGAATTTATAACACGTGTACGCTATACGTAACTTTCAGTCGCCATTTAAACGTAGCTAAATAATTAATTGGTCTCTAAAACATCGATAACTTTACTATCAATGTATCGAAACAAGCCTATGAAATGACTGAATAGTAAAATAGAGAAATACAAGTAAATTGTATAATTTGCTTTAAATTATCAAGAGAACATCCACACCTTTAACATGAAATATTTTTTTTAAATATAATTTTAAAAGAGTATTTTGAAGCAACTCTTTAATTGAAATACGAAACTTCAACAAGCTGTGACACGCAAGCATTACTTTTTATACTGTAATACACATGTAATAATACACATGTAATGTTAAATTTAACTCTCTGTCAACATATTTGTAAACTTGAACAAAAGTGAAAATGAGATGTAAACCTCAATGATTGAAACAAGAAATTTCGAAATACAATAAAATCTGAATGTCGTTGGGTGCCTGTCTCATTGTTGTATACTACATATATATTATATGCTTTCTATCTGCATACTAAATGTTTCTCTATATGTTTTTGTTGCACTGGAATGAAAGAGAAACACATTTATTCTCAACCTAAATGGTACATCGAAAGTTACTGCCAGCAAATGAAATGCAATCACAAATCTCGTATCTCTTTATTTTATTACAAACAGCACAAAAACGTGAGACCTATTCTGGTACAGCATTTCTTTTGAAAATGATCTGATTTAACGAATATCACGGTGCCATACTATAAACTTACTTAAACATTAATATAAGCCTTACAGTTGATGAAAAAAACATTTTATGAAATGAGGATATGTATTTTGTGATGTTCAAATTACTGAGAACATTGATAGGTTGAGACAAACTGAAATGATTTTATAATATATTTTTATTAAGCTTTTGCTTTTGACATTTGATAAAGGGTTTTCCGTTTTGAATTTTCCTTGTCGTTCGGTATTTTTGGCAAATATCATAGCTATTATCCTGCCAAAAAGTGATAAATGATAAACAGCCATGTTTATATAAATAGGTATGAAAAGACCAAAATATAATCAATTATTCAAAGTCAGCAAAAGATATATAGGCAATGTACCTGAAGGTCGCTTAAGGATGACTACTTTAAAATATATTTATTAATAAGCTGCATCAAAAGTTGCTTTATTTTGATAAGAAGTTGTGATATGATTTATTAAATAGATAAGTACCAATCATAGAACAAAGACTGGGGATGTAAACATCTACACACTACCGTACGACCTTCAATCATCAGCAAAACATATACAGTATGGTAAACGTTCCTAAATAACAACAGTGAAATAATTCAAAAGGGAAAACTAACAGCTTGGTTGAAAATATTCAATATTTGGATGTTTCAGATAATTTTCAAACATTCGACATAATTAACAGATTAGAAATCAGTATTTAGAAGAGATCGTAATATGCGAGGAAGTCTGAAATTTTGTTTTTGTCATGTTTTGTCTTGAAAATCAACCTTTGGTGTTGAATTAGAAGACTGACCAAAAGCCTCGTTTACATCATCGATCCATTTATCAATCCTTTCAAATAGTTCATCCTTATTCATAGACATAATGACACTGCCCGTATCGTCATTATCATTATTATTGTTTTCATTGTTTATTCGTTCTAAAAAATCTTCCTCGACAAGCTCTACATCTCTGTTTCTAGTAATGGCTGAAGCCGTTCGGAATTTCCGTTGAGCTTGCCTTTCACAAAATGCAACAGCTCTCATGTTTGCCATTTCGTAATCAAGTCTTGCCCTTCCTTTAATTTTTTCTCTGGCAGATGGGTTTTTTGGAAGAGCGCCGTTATTTGGATGTATTTTTATTTTGGATTTTCGTATTTCAACACCATTTTTGTCATAGCGCACCATAACTGGCTTCCGTAAACCTCGTCTATGTAAAATGTCACTTAACTGAAATGGGTTCAGATCAAAATGATCACTATATTCCGAAATTGAACGACTATCGTCTGCAAAGTCTTGATGCTGTTGTCTATAATCCATATATTCCGTGTGGTGGCGCCTTTCTATGAACTGATTTGTCAAGGACCATTCTGGTCTCTGTATCGCATTTGGATCATAATAATAAAATGTTCCGGGTGCTGACTTTGTGAATATTGGCCTTTGCTGAAAATCGTATGAAAAAGCATTGTTATCATGAATCTTTGGAAATCTTTCCCTCGTTTTCCCAAATTCTTCTGATACTTTGTCGTAGAGTCGATTACATCGTTGTAACTGTAAAGAAAATAATGTAATTTAAAAATTTTCAATGTCATAAGACATGCAAATCTAAGGCTTCATAACTATATAATTACATTACATGTATGTTTCACGAGAATCCGTTAGTTTGATTGGCTAACAACAATCGCGCGTCATTCAAAAATTAACCTTCATATCAAAATGAAATGTTACATTCGTGCTTCCACAAAAAAGTACACAGGTAAATCAAATAAAAACTTGGTTAAAACAAATTTGTTCATGGTCTGAGCATAAAAATGTAATTTTATATGTACAAGAAAGAAGCGCTTCATTCAAAATGTGCTTCGGTCAACACTTTTACACCCCCAATAAAATTACAAAAAGAAGCATTCATTTCTTAAATGTTTGTTTCCGTTCCTGTGTATTATTATAGTTATCTGCTCTTATCCAGTTTCACATTGTCTTACACACAATACGAAGTTTGCATTCCAGGTCAAGCGTTCAGAAATTTCAAATCAGAGACACTTAATTAGGTAAAAGCTTCACATGGTACATATACATTATACAAAAAAGAAAATCAACGAGACGGTACATTGAAAGGAATCATCAGGTTACAAGAGCACTAATATTTGTTTACATGGTACTCAGAATAGAATCTTGTACGGCTTCTGATTGGATGATACAGGATTGGAATTACTTTTAATCGAAAGTTTATCCAATTAGGTTTAAAAAATCCAGAAAATCAAATTCACATTTTACAAAGTATAAAAAATATCTTCCATTTCTGAACATCGGAGCCATTAAAAATGTGCCTTTTTCATTAAGCGAAAAATATAGACGATGTTTTTCATCTGCATTTTAAGTTAATTTTTGCCGGTTGACCATATATAATTTTTTTGGTTGTTATGCAACACTGGCATTTCTAGTAACAGGAACTGCAACCCGTTTTTTCCTAGTTTGTGTAGTCTTAGAGAAATAAAATGCGGAACACCACTGGTACCCTATGGAAAATGCATAACGAATAATTGCGCTCTTGTAACCATCAAATCTACATAAGGTACATTAATTCCAGGGGAAACTGCTGGAAGAGCGACAACTCTTGATAATATGAAACAAGGTAAAGCTTTTCCTATAATTTGAAAAGAAAAAGAAAGCACAAAATAAAACACATAATCAAAAAGGTAACACGAAAAAGAAACATAGAAACAAAATAAAACAAAAAAGCAAGCAAGAAAAAGTAAAAATTAAAAAAAATATGACCCGAAAGAAAAAACTTATTTGTTGATTTTTTATTTAATAAGACATGTCAGTGTGTACGTGCATCTTAAATTTTGTTTAAATTTGATTTAATTTTAAACGACTGTTCGTCCAATTATAATAGATAATGATGATCATATACATAAAAGGTTTTCCTAGTTTGGATTGGCTTTTGTTTCTCTGACGTTAACCCACTTTTCCTGTTACAAAGATCATCACTGGGAAATCAAAATAAATTTCATATATCATATTCATATTGCATAAGACTAACAAATAATGATACCTGATATACTTCTACAATTTGATTAAAAGCTACCGACAGATTTGAATAAACAAATGAAGACATAGTAGTATTAACATTTCTTCACGAATCCCGCCCACTAAAATTTGCAAAATAAAGAATCCAAGAACATAGTCGAGAAATAACAAAATTAGTATCAACCGAAAATGACATGAACCCATCAAGTTTGTGAAATTGATATCACACGAATTACTATTTCAATATCTTATGAAAAGTATTTTCGTAAAAAATATTCGCCTTTGTCAAAATAGTAATTATTTGATTGATTGGTTTGCGTTTGCTTGACGTCCAGTGGCCATTAGTTGTTTTACTGCATGTAGATTAAAGGAGAGACTACATAATAATATAAATTTAATAAGTATAGATTGTGCAAATTGATTCGACCTGGAAGAAGTGTGGGAATATCGACTACAACTGGAAAAATAGAGGACAATTAGTTTTCTCGTTTGAATTGTTTTACATATGTCATTTCGAGGGCAAAATGTAAAAAAAAAACCAAACCAAACAAACAAAACATGGATACTGTTTACAAATAAGGAAATGTGGTATGGCTGCCAATGAGACTACTATCCATTTGTGTTCAAATGACGCGATGGTAAGCAATTATGGGTTACCGTAAGGCCTTCAACAATGAGATAAACACATACCGTATAGTGAGATTTTAAAGGCCCCAACATGAAACAATTCGAGCAATAAATTTAAACGAAATTACAGCGATAATGTCAATACCAGCTGACCAGCAGATATTTACATGATAATTGTCTACACCAACTGACAAATAACGAAATACATGGATACTGTCCATACCCACGGGAATTATTAATATTCCACTGCATTGAAATGGGTCAGTGTTATCAACATCCAGATAAAGGAAATCTATATGGTTTAATTGTATTCTAGGTTCTGTATTATTGACGTATTCGTCCCTATAAAAATAATGAAAATCATTTTTTTTCGTATTGTAAGTATCTTATTAGCAAACTTGAAACGTTTAGTTAAAACCAATGTGTTATTCCCCAAACATTCAAGTACAACAGTACAAAACAAAAAAAACCCATCCTTCTTATAGTAACAAGACAGGCGGATAACTTGGTAGCCACGGAAGGAAGGAAGGTCCGTATTGAATATACATAATTTTATCAAACGTTTAAATCATCAAAAACCTTGTGAAGTGCATGTGAATGTTATTTTGAACAAAGTTAAACATTGTATCAATAACAGACTGTCAAACGATCTCCGGCGATATAAAAATATTTAAGTAAAATTAAGTGTCTGTCACAGAAAGGCAATGTGTTCAATTAATTATTCGATTACTCACACTTATACAAAGATATAAAAATAAAAATAGAGATTTAAATTAAATTTAAATATTTACATTAATTGCTTCTGAGTGACTCTTGTAAAATTAAAAATAACACAAGTACTCGTGTTATTGATGACTTATACAAACACATTAAATCTCATTTTGCGCACTATGTCCTGACTTTGTTTTTTTCGAACTGAAAAGTTCAAGAACATTAGTCATTATTTAAAGATTATGTGTCAATTGAATTTTAAAGATACGCAGAAACGTTGTTTGAATAATTGAAACCGATTTTACAGCATGATGCACGCATAGCAAGAGACGCTTACGCTGTCTACACATTCGTTGAAGCTCCATTTTGAGTTCAGGCCAGTCCCACATACTTTTTCTCGTGATTTTTATGTTGAACATTGCCAGTTTGATTTGGTAAAAATCTTGCTTATAGATATTTATTATCATATTTAAGCATCATATTATATTAGTGAATTAGAGGCAACAGTAGTTTACGCTGTTCAAATTTCATAAATCATTTCAGAACGTAAAAATCAAGATAAACAAGACTGTGTCCATAGTACACGAATGCCCTACTCGCACTATCATGTTCTATGTTCAGTGGTTCGTGAAATTGGGGTCAAAGCTCTAATTTGGCATTAAAATAAGAAAGAGCATATCATAGGGTACATGTGTACTAAGTTTCAAGTTGATTGGAGTTCAACTTCATCAAAAACTTTAACCTGAAACGACCAAAAACTTTGACCTGAAGCGGGACAGACGGACGAACGGATGCACAGACCGAAAAACATGATGTCCCTAGGTGGAGCAAAAAACCAAATAGAATAAATGAATTTAGGCATGAATATTGTGTACCTTATAATATGTACGAATAAGATATGAGATTTTCATTTTGGGTACTGACGTGATTAGAAAAACCTTGTTTTGCGTAATTAAAATAGTTGATTATAAAATGGTGTTTGTTTCGTTTGTGTTTCATTTTTTGGTAAATCTATTCCATCGTAGACAAATAGCAGTTTTACAATCCAATAAACTTAGTCCAATGCCATATGACAAAGGTTCCATACCGGGAAGTTGTTGTATATCAATACAGAAGACTGGATACATGAACGTTCACATACTTTATTTTTCCATCCAACATATATACAATCAGTTCATAAAACATATATACAAAACAGTAATCATGGCAACATACATTAACCCGCCGCTACTCGCAGATCGAGAGCGAGGCGAACCGATGCGTCACATGGTTCTCTCTCTTTTCTCTCTCTCCCTTTTTTTTCAAAATTAACCTTTATAAAACATATGATCATCGACACGTTTTGACCAATGAAAATGGAAAAAAGGTACTTATAAACAAATAGTTTCAAAACAATGATATATTTAAAAAGCAGATTAAATTAACTGTTAATTGACATTATTCAATCTATATACAATTTGTATGTTGACAAGTAAATTAAATTGATGACCATTGTTGTCTCACAATCTTAATCTTAATCCATAAATATTTCCTAGTACCGCTAACCACAACTAATAAATGTTTCTTATAAAATTATTTGATAGTTCATAATCTTGTTTCCCGAACAAAATGCACTTTTTGCTTAATAAAAATATTGAAACTTAACTACTCATAAGAAATAATGACTTTTGATACCAAACACGACATAAAAAGAAGAAAATGCGCAAATCCACAATTTTACGCATTTTCACAACATGACAGTACAATCAGCAATTCTGATTTCACCTTCGTTGGAGACGCTAATGACCTAAAGATAATCACACCTGAGAAGCTGTATAATTAAAGGGGACATAACAGGCCTGACAGTCAAAACAAAATGGTCATTTCAAATGGTCAGTTTCAAAGGCAAAACCCTATACATGCAGTACTTTCGTTAAAACCGTTCGTATTGGTCAAGTACGTGTCGTTTTAGAAAATAAGATAAAATACAATTTCCCTCGTTATTTAATATGGATATATTTTACTTCCTTGACGCCATATCTACTATCTTCTAAAACAATATACAGTGATATATGATAGCTATGTAGTTTCAGAAGTGAATGGCTTTAAAATTTTAAAGATTTGAGCGTTCCTGATGAAGGTAAATCCATAAAAGCGCTTTAAATGTACGAAACTTATAAAGTGTTAAAGTGTTATTTTCGTGA